TTTATGATTAAATTAAAAAGTAGTATAATTTCAGGTTTATAATGCAAATATTGTTTAAACTGAAAGCACTTGATATTTTGCTTACAATATTTTTTTAAAGATGATTTAAGATGTGTAGCTTTAAATAAAAGAAGTTTTGCAGAATTATAGCGAGTGAGCAGCTGTTTCCACATTGTTAGGGCACAGAAGCTAGAGTTCCGATTGGCACATTAATCAGAAAGAATTGAGACTACGAAATCCATTTCATTTAATCTCATTATTGAATAAACAGCTCTGTAGTGATGCCTATTTGTACTTGTTTCTCTAATAAAAATGCAACTGTAGCTCTCAACACAAATTAGTTTTAATTATTTAAATGATATGAATTTGTCAAACATAAATAATCTAACACCTGTTTTGCCTTTTCATTTTATGAAAAAAATGTTTCGTGAAAACTAATAGAGGATGATAGTGGGGAATAACAAAGGTAGGTCTATGTGTTTATTACAATTCTATTAATTCAGAAAATGCAAGTGTGAGTTGATTGCTATCTAGCAGGATGAAGAAGCAGTCTGTTTCATTGCTTGGCAAGGACACCACAGAAAACAGGAGGATGTCTCAGATACACTGGGTCAATGCAACTCGCTTGTCCTACACTCATCTCTGAGAACTGGTGACGGTGATTTACAGTATAGCAATTTATCTTTTAAATACAATTATAACATTACAAAGCAATGAGTGGTGTAGCTTTTGAGATCCTTAATCAAGGCACCAAAAGCTGCCATGACAGTCACCAACATATGTGAAACAAGCCTTCTCAGGCAAAGGAAAATAGAAATCTCAGTTTCCTTGCTTTGTATTTGCTTTAGTAACTTCATTTCAGGAGATCTGCCTGACCATACATGAAGAGTAATCTAAGTGTCAGAAGGGTATAATGTGGTTTACAAACCAATTGGTAGCTAACTCTGAAAATGGAGATCTGTTTGTTTTCTTCACAGAATAGTAGAATCATATTTGTTGTTTCTGTTTCATGCTACATTTTGTTTTCAAATATTTGGTATTTAAAATTCTGGATATCTTAACATACTGTCCTGAATTCATTTATCATTTGGTTGAAGAGGGAAATTAAACATGATTAAACATGTAATCCAGTTGTGGTTGGTGGTGGTGGCCTCATATGGCACTTCAAGCAGTAATTGTATGAATTTCTGTATATTAAACCATACTTTAATATTGATTCTGTTTGTGGTGTATTAACTGTTATCCTTTCTTGGTCAAGGAAATGTGCTAAGCAGATATTTACTGTTCTAAATCAACAAGGCAATTTTAGAGTCACATGAAGCTGTTGAAACCTACCACTCAGTAGTTTGTCTGCCAGATTAATCATCTTTATTGTCCCTTCTGGAGGTGTCTCTCTTCCTTTGTGCAAAATATTTCCAGCAGGCAGGCTTATCATGAGAACTTATGACACTCCAAGGATATGATTATGTGACCATCACAGTTAATATTGTGCCCTACATATCAATAACACAGCGCAGGGCTTCAGAGCTGTATTTTTTAAAAAATGCAAATTACAGAAAATATTTCTAAAGCATTTTATTACAATTCAGAGTGCGTTTTTCTCTCAAAATGCTCCTATGATTATTTCGTTTTAGCTTTACTCCCTTCTCAGTGCAGTTAATTTAAAACACTTATATTCAAATTTTTGCATATCGGCCTCTTTTTTTACACCATTTTTTTTGCAACATTTAATTATTGTTAAATGATCGGTAAATACACTACTGGAAAGGTTCTGTGGGATACTGAATTTGTTTTGATGTAATTGAAGTGCAACTAAGAGTCAGTAGTTAGAATAAAATCATGTTTCTAGTGTTGCAAAGAACTACAGTATACAACTACTCAAGGAAAATCTGGATTTGATTTAGTTCTTGTTATTTTTATAATAATTTTAATAAAGTTATGACTTGAAACTATATAAATATAAACCACAATATCATTTAAAAGAAAAAAAAAATGCAAGGAAGCAGGATATTACAAAAAAAAAAAAAATCAGAGGATATCTTCCTGTTGTAGTACTTTTTTGCTGTTGAAGAAATGTAATGTCTTTAAGCCTCCAGAGCTGTTTCATTGCTTATCTGACCACAGCTTTGGGAAGAAAAAAATGGTTTTAGATGAAATTTCTTTCGCACTTATGTATTAGAATGGAACTTTGGTTTTTATTTTTAATGGGATGCTCTAAAGATATAGAACTATTTTACAACCAGTTAGCTAGCTTGTAATCTAGATACATAAATTGATATAAGCGAAATGATAGTACAAACTTTGCTGATGGTGCCATCAATGCTACATTCAATGCTACAATGTATTTCAAGAAGCCTTCATGTTACTAAAGATATGATGATGGCAATTAAGCAAATGTATCAGGATAATCAGGTTTAATATTAGTATCTTTGAAACAATATCAAGTGGTATCTCAGGTTTAAAATATATTTCCCTAAACAAGTCAAGTTCGTTGTTTCTT